AGTTTCTCTTGGCCGAATTTTTTTCAAGAAGGCCACCACCACCACGTGCCACCACCGTCCACCACAAGGGTGGTTGCGTGTGTGTGTTTATTTTGGATATTTTCATTGTAAATTGTAAAAACGGAATAATGGAAAGAAATTGAAAACCACCACCTTAGGGTGGTGACTGCCGTCTCCTGCCGCCACCGGCCGCCGTGTCGGGTGGCGGTGTGCCTCGTTTGTATGGCGATTCGTTTGGGATGTTGGACAAGGGACTAAAACCCTAATGGGCCTAATAAACCTTAATGGGCGCAATGAAGCCCTATTGGACCTAAAAGCCCAAACATGTGACTAATGGGCTTAGTGAAACCCTAATGGGCTCAGTGAAACCCTAATGGGTCTAATGAACCCTAATTGATCAAAAGACCTAGCTATTGGGCCTATTGGGCTAAGATGGGGTTGGAAACCCTAATTAGGGTTTAGAAAACCCTAATATTGGATTTTTGGGCTTGGACTTATCGGGGCCCACATTTGGGCCATTGGAATCGAATTGTGTGTTAAGCCCAATATCACCATATGATTTATTTAGAATAATGATGGACTTATTGGATTAAGTCCTTAATGGGTTAAGTGAGAAACACTTAACCTTAATCGTCATTTTATGTGAAACGCTAATTTCACTTGGGTTTATTGTTGGGCCTTGATGATTAGGTTATTAATGGGCCATCCAAGAGCAAGCAAATGGACTAGAATAATTAATGGGCTTTGAGGTAAGGCCCATATGAGGAGTTGGGCCCAATTTGGAAAATTGGGCCATAGATGGGCCATAGTTTGGGCCTTTATGATTATGTGATATTGGGCCATTAGAATGTTGAATGTTGGACTGGACTAAATGGTTGGGCCTTATAGTAAGACCTTATAAAGGTTTGGGCCTAATTTGGAAAATTGGGCCATGTGTTGGGCTTTGACTCATAGTTGACTTTTGGGCCTTTGGTTTGGGCCTTGATCTTGAATTAAGCCAAGATAAGGGTAAATCAGTCTTTTACCCCAACATGGACTTATGGACATGTGTTGGAACCCAATTATTAACTGGGTGATGTTTTGATATTGACAGTTCGGGAATCTGTCATCCAGCAGCCGGGGTTGTGTCTACGGGACTTCAGCAGTGTGAGGTGAGTTACCTTCCAGTAGAAGTGGGTCTAAGGCACCAAGGTCAGCCCACTAGTATGAGTTATAGTTGAGATGATTGTCTTTGTGATAATTGTCTGGTATGTGTTATCCGTTATGATTACGTGCTAGTATGCTATGATGCTATGTGTTATATGATAGTAGGGGTAGGATAGACCCCGATACCGGTTTGAAGGACCGAAGGGGTAGTTAGTGCCCAGTCATGTTAGTTATCTTATGCTATGTGCTATGATTTTATGTGATAGTAGTAGAGGGGTGAAATAGTCCCCGATGACCGATCGAGAGGACCGAAGGGGTAGGCCAACACTCAGATATGTTAGGCAAGGTTACCGGTCGAGAGGACCGAAGGGGTAGGCCAGCACCCAGGTATGCTCGGCAAGGTTACCGGTCGAGAGGACTGAAGGGGGTAGGTCAGGCACCCAGATATGCATGACAGTATGTGTTATGTATGGTATGTGGTATGATGAGGGAACTCACTAAGCTTTGTGCTTACGGTTTTCAGTTTTGGTTTCAGGTACTTCGTTTTCAAAGAAAAGCAGTCGGCTTGATCGTAGCGCATCACACTATATTTCCGCACAGGAGGTCTTGGGGATTACACTCTGATATTGTTTTATGATAACATGTTTTGATTATTTCTACTTTGGTTTTGACATGACATGATATTATGGATGTTTTATTATACTGATGGTTTTATAATAACGTATTTAAAAATGAATTTTTGGCCTGTATTTTTGGGATGTTACATAGGGTTAGGCATTTGCAGCATGCGAGGCGCATCGGGCTAAAGGACGATATTAGTTTTACAGATTAGATTGTTTTTGAAATTGTAAAGTGTAATTGACATTTGATGATGAATAAAAGTTGTTGTTTATTTATGAGTAAAGTGTTGCTATCTTTTGTCAATCGTTTACTATCATTTCATTTTGCATGTTTTGACTTCCAGAATAATTATGTTATGGTATATCATATTATTCAAATTCTCCACAGTCGGTCATATGTCAGAAGTAGATATGAATCAAGACTGTCATGAAGTTGGCTTGTAGATGTCTAAATTGTTGGACATAGCAAGAGTTGTTACAACACTTATGAGTGCTCAGAAGTTCTGAGTATTGGATTCAACCCGCGCTCACTTGAATCACTTCATGGAATTTATCTCGAGTGATCGTGAGACGATAATATCATATAAGTCTTCAAACCTAGAGATATGAGTTGTTGCCTATGAGTTGGTTATGCATTGATTGTACGAAAACGCATCAGTAACTTGATGTCATAAAACGTGCCTTTGTGTATAATTCAACAAGTAGTAGAACAAGCATATGAGTCGAAGTTTATATGTTCCTTCTTGGATTAGAAGCGATATCTGGGCCCCTCGATGATTTTGTTGTGACCTATGTACCGGGCCCGGTCAGAACTAAATTGATGTGTTCGATTAAGTTCTATGTCAAACAAATCGGAAATCGGGAAACAACTGCTGGACAATAAGTATGACATTGTTCCATGTATTTGTCCGGCTGATATCAAGAACAGAGGATTATATGATCCCTTATCTAAAATGGTGCTTCATAGTTCAACAGAGTTTTAAGAGCTACGATTGCCGGTCGGTTCCTAAAGTAATGCTTGCAATTATAGTTATTAGACTTATCCAAGTGGGAGACTGTTGGATAAGGTGTCTAAGTCCATAACTATATTTGAGATGTACTTGACCCGACCCGGCATGGTCCATTTGGATTGCACTTCACCCCAACAATTTATGGATAATCTTTTGAGAATAGTATGTTTATGATTTATTAATATATTATAAGTTCTAATATATTAATATGAAATCATATTATTTAATTAGTATTGATCTAGAATTAATTTAGAATTAATTTGGTGATAAAAAAGGTGACTAATTAAATATGGGCTCTTGTAATTATATAGTGTGGGCTATTGCTTATTTAGAATGGGCTAGGATTGCATGGAAAGTCCATGGATAGTCCATGGAGCTTTAACCCATGGATCTCATGGAAATGAAAGGTCATGGGTATTAGGGTTTACATGAATGTAACCCTAATCCACCACACTATATAAAGGAGTCCTTGGCACTTGAAATGGCACTAGTTTGTGTGAGAACTAAAGGGTGGCCGATTTCTAGTAGTGTGTTACTATTCTCTCAAGCTTCCAAAGTTTATGGTGATTTGTGACTTCCATTTGAGGCATCCACATTATTGGTGCCAGGCTCTCAAACTCCAAGCAATCAACCACTACTAAAAGGTATGTAATTCTACTAGTGTTTTATGATTCAAGTACCCCATAACATGCTAGTTAGGATGTAAACCTTGGAAATTTATTATTTGCATGTATCTTAGAGAAAACATAGATCCAAGGTTTCTAGGGTTGCATGTACACCGTATGAGTGTTAGAATGCTCAAAAACCTTCAGTTCGTGGTTTATAAATAATGTTTTAGATTTTTTCTGAAGAAAATCTATGTTGTTTTATATTGTTATTTTGTTGCAGTTATGAATAATCAAATTGAGATAGATTCCACTGAATCATGTAAGATTACGAAAGAGCACGAAGAAACTTCAGATGTAGTTTTTTCAAGTGATCATTTACTTAGCAAGGGGAAAAGGATCAATGAAGGTTTGTGGTTGATAAATAGTGTTTTTCATTTGATATGAGTAAAATTCATGTTTTTTTTGTATCAGGTGTGAAGAAACCGATTGAGATACATTCCGGTAATTCTTTGAAGCTTAAGAAAGATAAACATCATATTTCTAAAGTTTGAAGAATAAAAAAAAGATTATATGGTAATATACATTCAATAACATACGAAGTATAATGTTATATATTTTGAAGTTTAGTATATTATCAAAGTATTATTATTTTATTATTGTATTTGTTTTTTTTCTATGTTTTGTAGGTTCTAATGTTTTTTCAAGTGATTTTGATTATGAAGAGAAGAGTATAAGGAGTTTTAAGAAGTTTGTAGTAAAATCTGATAAAAAAGTTAAAAAAAATATATGATGGTAAATCTGGTAATGTGAAATCTTTGTATGCTCGTGTGTCTCTTAAATCTTTTTATGGGGATGTGAAATCTTTGAATGAGAAACAAGAAGAATGTTTAAGGAAAATCGGGTTTGGATCATTGCTTGATATAAAGACTCAAAGTATTCCAACAAAATTATGTTATTTTGTTGTGGATTATTTTGATCATGAGGAGATGGTTATTAAGAGTGAAGGTGGAAATATTCGTGTAAAGAGAGAAGATGTGAATAGGGTTCTAGGTTTGCCTTTGGGTGTTGAGCAGATTAGTTGTTTAGGTGTTCGAGGCAATGAGGATTGGTTTGAAATTTGGAAAGACCAATTTAAGAAACCATTGTCATTATTAGCTCCTTCTGATTTGGTGGTGAAGATAATAGAGCGAAGCGAAGCAGATATGGTTTTCATTGTGAATTTCATAATTTTGATGTGTACATGTTTTGGATCATGTAACAAACAAGGAGCTTGTAATTTAAAAGTTCTTCCTTACTTGTCTCGACCATCTAAGTTGGACCAAATAGATTGGTGTTCATATGTATTGAATTGTTTGAAGGAAGAGAAATTGGTATGGAGCAGAAATGAAGTTAAATCATTTTTTAATGGACCATGTGAATTTATAATGGTATATGCTTTTAAATTATTTGAATTGTATATAGGATAATTAACATTCATAACATTTCAGTTTGTAATAAAAATTATTTTTTGTAGTTGCTATATGTTGATAAGATTCAATGTAAGCAAATGACCATATTGAGAAGATATCCTGTAATTAATTTCTGGACATCATATCAACTTAAGTTTAGAGAAACCAATGAATTGGACAATGGTGGTTTTCGGTAATGGAGTTGATGCTGCAAAGTGTAGTGAAGAAGTTGAAAGTGGATCCATATTAGTAAGTTTGAGTATTTCTTTGTATTTATATTTGAGGCAATTTTAAACAATGTTATCTACATTATCTACATACTTGTGATTTCATTTTTTTATTTACATTTACAGGATTTTGAGTTAGATATTCAGTGGGATGTGTATGACTTGTCCAAGAAAGTAGAAATGGCATTGAAAAAGCATGAAAAACATAATTTTTTTTTTCAGTTTTACAGATTGAAATTAAAAGAGATTGTTTTTGTTATTTCTAAATTCCAACAGAGTGATTTAAAAAATTATTCCAACTCTGAATCGTTTCGAAGAAATATTAGTTTTGAGGAGTACTCCTTCACAAATCAGGGTAAGTGTTGTGAAAAATTATGAATTTAATATTTGATGATAATGCATAAGAATCTAAAATTACTAAATTTATTATTATTTTTCTATTGAAGGTAAGGAAATGGAAAAAAGGTTTTTAGATCAAGTAATGTGGGTTTGTATGGTGTAGAAGAAGAAAGAAACAGGTTTTTGAACGAAGATATACCATCGTTTGATTTAGGAATAGATTTTGAGATATATACCCCAAAAAAGGACTGTTTAAGTTCGCATCATGAAATGCAAGAGAAATTTAAATCTGAACTGGTATTTGATTCTCCATTGAATGTAATTGGTAAAAGATTGAATGTTCCAAGTAGGTTGAGTAAAAGAGATCAAAACCAATCACCATCAAAATCAAGGACAAAGAGAGAACAAATGTTACCTCCAGTGAGGTCTCCTTTTGTGATTCGTGCGGTTGATATTGAAAATAATTTAACAAGGGAAGAGAGCATAATATCTAACTGGGTAGGGATGAGCAAAGGAACCGACCTGAACCGGACCCGGCCCGGGAACCGAAGCCGTCCGAAATTAAGAACCGAACCGGACCGCCGATTCTACCGGTTCCCAGTTCCTACCGGTTCTTGCCGTATCTTCAATGCTGGAACCGGTCCTTGATAAATAACAACAAACAGTTCCGTATTTTTCCGATTCTACCGGTCTTTTCCGGTTCCTACCGTTTCCGGTTCCAAAAATCCATAAGAATATCGTCCCGGTCCCGGCCCGACCGGTTCCATCGGGTTCCGGTTCCGGCCGGTTCCCTGGTCCATATACTCATCCCTATAACTGGGTATTTAGTTTAGTCGAAGACCTAACGTAATGCCTTTTTTTTTTAATATAGGCTATTATTAAGTTATCATATATTAATATTATTATTGTAATTTTGTAGGGACAACTTATTTCATAGCATATCCGGTCAACGTGGAGAACGTCATATGTTTGAGAGTTTATATCCGCATGAACTACTATTTTTTGGGACCATTGATTGTTTTATTGACGTTTTAAACTATGATGAGAGAGCTAGAAATACTGACACTCTGTCTTGTTTCTTCTTCACGACGTCTGTTTTGGTAAATTGTCATTTTTTTTAATATATGACTTGTGTAACATCCCAAAAATCCAGACCAAAAATTTCATTTTTAATTAATTTGTTATGAAAACCATTATCATGAAAACATTAGTAATTCCATCTCATATCATAAACAAATCAGTATGTAAAACATCCAATCGTGTCATAAAAGATAACTATCAGAGTACAACTCCCAAAGATCTAATCATGCGGAAAATCATAGTGTGATGCGTTGCAGTCAAGCTGGCTCCTTTCCTCTCGAGGATGAAGTACCTGAAACCAAAACTGTAAACCGTAAGCACGAAGCTTAGTGAGTTCCCCCATGATACCACATAATTACATGCTGCCAGACATATTCGGGTGCCAGGCCTACCCTGTCAGACATACCTGGGTTCCCGACCTACCCTGTCAAGCATATTTGGGTGCTCGACCTACCATGTCAAGCATTTATGGGTGCTCGACCTACCCTCCGGTTTATCTCAACCTGCTACGAGGACTATTTCACCCCTATCACTACCATATAATCTCATAATATAAACATACTGTCAGACATATTTGGGTGTATGACCTACCCTACCAAGCATATCTGGGTGCCCAACCTACCCTCCGGTTTATCTCAACCGGCTATTGGGGTCTAACCTACCCTCTACCACTATCACATGATCACATAACATTCTAGCACATAAACATAACAGATAGTGGCATACCAGACAATTATCACTCAGATAATCATCTACTACATACTCATACTAGTGGGTCGGCCTTGGTGCCTTAGACCCACTTCTACTGAAAGGTAACTCACCTCAACTGTTGTGTAGCGGCTGTACTGTCCTCTGTTATGAAATCAATCCACTCAACCACCTACACATAAACATTTCTTTTAATTACCCTCTTACATACTCATAACCCCTCTAGGGTCAAATTTGGTCAAATTCAAAGTCAAGGTCAACACCCTGGTCAAAGTCAACATCTGGCAAAGTCAACATACTGATCAAAGTCAACATGCTGGTTGACCCAACTCACCAAGTTGATCCATCAACTCGTCAAGTTACATAAATCTGAAGTCCTTGAAGTCGCGATCCACATCATCGAGTTATCCTTAACCTCGACGGGTTTTTTACCCCAAAACAGAGTCGGGACATTCCTGGACAACTAGTCGAGTTCTTCCTTAGACTTGACGAGTTCCTTTGTCTTCACGACTCGGATAACCTTGGCCAACTCAGCGAGTCGTCTCCTAGACTCACTGAGTTTCTCCGGAGTCAGAAAAGTAGGGCTTACGATCCAACTCGCTTATTTGTATGAACAACTCGTCGAGCCCCCCATAGTCTGAATCCATACAGTGGTTTCTATTCAGGCTTCAAGCATCCAAATCATAGATCTGGTTCCCTAGGGTCGATATATCACGTAAAGTTTCTAACTTTACGTCCAAGCATGGGGTATTTAGCTCAAAAATCCCTAAAAAGTGGTTCACATGTTGCATGGGACTCCCATGGCCATAAAGTTGGCACCTTTATGCCATGGAGTCCCTCAAAGGCTCTAGATCTGAAGTCATGACTCCAAAACATGCTTGCATCCATGAATGGTTCCATAATAAGCTCCTTAAGGCCCTAAACTACTCCATGAAGAGATCTAGTAAATGAATAGTCAAGGTATAGACTTTATACCTCAACAAGGCTGCTTTGACAACGAAATCTCTGGATCCAAGGCCTTTTCCTTCAACCAAGCACTTCTAGCTTCCATTCCTTCAAGGAAATACCAAAGAATCACTCTCTTCTCACACACACACACAAAACGCTCAAGATCACGAGTTAGGGTTTTGTTGGACCGAGGGAGGCGATGAGGGAGGCTACAATAAGGTGTTAAGGTCCTTAAATAGGGTGCAAGGCCCGGAAAATTAAGGTTTCACACAGGCAGTCCTACTCATCGAGTAGACACGAAGTCCCGCGTCCGAAATCCATTCCCTACTCGACGAGTTTGGGCCTCCAACTTATCGAGTCTACATACAAAAATGAACAAAACTCGAATTAAATCATACCAGGAACTGGGTGTTACAACTTGTTTTGATATGACTTTGATATTTTTTCTTATAAGTAGAATCCTGGATATATGCACATCAAAGGACCTAAAAGTGAAAAAGAGTACAAAAATTTCAAAGAGAATGTTCTTCACTGTTTGGGTGTATCTCAAGATAGAAGAAGTTTAAAAGGATTTGATATGGTAAGGTTTTAATACGTTGGGTAAATTTTATTGAAAATAATGAATTATTTTAATGAACTTATGATTTGATGTACAAGTGTTTTTTCCTGCATGTTCAAACCGTCACTATTTTGTGCTTGTTTATGATTTTAAGAACCGGAAAGATGTGATTTTGGACAACCTTTTGTATAGTTGTTCTGATGAAGCATATCCAGATCTTATATCTAATTTGGTAAGTTATTTTGAATTTAATCTAATTGTAGTCATATTTTATTTATGATATAATCTTAGTTCTGTTGTAGATGTAAATTTAATTATATTATATATATATATATATATATATATATATATATATATATATATATATATAATATATAGACACACACACACCACAAACACACACACACATGCACACACACAACATACACATAATATATATAGATATACATATATATATATTATATATATATATAATATATATATTATATATATATTATATATATATATATATATATATATATGTAGATATATATGTTTGGAAGGTTCCTACTTGAAATAAATCATAATATGGCGTTCGCAGTTCAATATGAAATTGATTTTTTCGATCAGTACATGACCTGGAAAACAAGGGGTAACTCAAATTATTGCGATATATTTCTGATGAGGCACATGGAGACTTACAAAGGGGCTCCGTTTGCACAGTGGGATTGTGGACTAAAAAAGGAAGGTGCTGAGTAGTTACTTCAAATAAGGAAGCTGCGTAGGAGGTATTGTTTGAAAGTATTGTTGAGTGAGGTGAACATAATGAAGCTTGAAGTTGTTAATCTAATTGCTCAATATCAAAGGATGTCTAATAAGGATAAGTGTATATTGTATCAAGATGCCATTCTTAAAATAGGTGCTCGTCTCGCAGAATTTGGTCCATGAAACGGTGTAATATTTGTCGAAACAGGAAGGTAACTAGTTTTATGCGGTAGTAGTTTCTAGAAGTGTTTATGTTTAGTATTACGCAGTAGCAGTGATATGTTTTATTGTTTAGTTTTCGTTATGTATGCTTTCAGTATTCTGATGGATAAGTTAATTTCATGTTTACTATTAAGATTTCAAGTGATGAAGTGTAAGACATGACTTGAAGTCATCTTTTAATGATGTTGTTTTTTAAGTTGTCTAGTTATGTATTGAATGGAAGATATTTATGTATAGTGTTATAAATAAATCAATTTGATTAATATTTTAAAAAATGTTTTATATATAAATAAGTTGAGATTATTTCGTGAAGGGGTATAGTAAAACTGAAAGGAGAATATTATGGAGATATTTACATATAGGATGGTTGTTGAAGTGAAAAAGTCATAGTAAATATCGGATCAGGAGTATGATACTATATATTAAGAAAAAATGAACATAATACTACATCACAAAAGAATGGGGAGTTTATATGAAGATAATGTTAAGAAGAATAAAAAGAGGTTATGTAAGATATGTTCCAGATTGCCGTATCATGATTCAAAAAAATTGTCCGTATGAAAAAAGGAATTAGATGGGGAATTTAAAGGAAAAGATGTTATGTAAGTTATGAAAGTTATGGTTCTCATGATCCTTACATAAATGATTATTATGTTAAATATATGATTAAGCATTATATTTGAATTGTTTTTTATTCTGATTATTTTCTTGTAATAAATATATAAATCGTTGTAAAAGGTTATGAATAAGTCAATTAATTTGAAGTTTTACTACATGGTATGAGATTAATTGATCTATGTTAGTTTGAATGAAAAGATCGTGTTCCCAATAGATAACTTTATAAATTCATTCATATGTAATAATTTCATGTTACGTAATTTTTATGGGAAGTGATTCGTACA